GAGGAGACGAGGAATGCATATAGGATATAGGTGGGAAAGCCAGAAGGAAAGAGACCACTGGGAAGACCAAGGCGTAGGTGGGTGGACAATATTAAAATGAATCTTAGAGAAACGGGGTGGGATTGGATTGATTGGATTGATCTGACTTATAATAGGTACGGGTGGATGGCTCGTGTGAACATGGTAATGAACCTTCGGGTTCCATAGAATGCTGGGAAGTTCTTGAATAGCTGCACAACTGGCTCAGCTCCATGAGTGAGTGAGTGTGCTCAATTAACGCAATTGAATGCAAATACCGATAACCATAACCGTCGTCTGAGTGGAGAAATGCTAACGTTGTTGTCTGTGGACTAGAAAATCCACCAAGCATTCATGCGCAAGAAACTCGGTGCAGAAGTATTATTGCCATCTCATGTTGAAGCCAGGCACATGTTAGAGACAACTGAAAAATGTGTGTTACGTTCTGTAGCTGATAAAATTAATGAAATTCACTTGATTTCAACCATTCATGCTTTTAACAGAGTAAACACTTTCGATATATCGCAACCGGCTGACGATGAATATCGAAGAAGAAATATGATTTCGGCAGAAAAATGATTCGCTCTTGGGATTTCTTTACAATCGAGATCAACTCCAATTCCGTTGCAAATGGTATTTCTAGACGGCTAATAAATCAATTTTTGAACAAGAAATAATAGGAGAGGAAGCTAAATTTATGTCGTAATGGATGAAACAAAACACAGTCTCTACAAAGTGTGTTCTAGCAAACTTTTTGAGATGTAATAATTACAGGTTTCAGAAACCGGTGAGTTTTAAGAGTACTACGAATATCTTATGAGATGCGATGCCGTGCAGTCTGGTAGAAGCCAATCAGTGTTTCGGAGGAACGTACTGCCTTCATCTTCAGGGTCCAGCACTGCTTGCCACCAGCTATGTGCTAGTTACTTGGTCGAATTACTCTAGGACCCTGAATATGGACCCTGAGTATGTTCCTCCAAAACGTCTGTGATCTTCTACCGGTTCACACGGCGTCACAATCAAAAACATAATACTCTTACTCACAGCTATGTGAACCTCAAATCCAACAGCCAATGAATTTGTTGGTAGACTTAATAATAGTAACTGTGTGCACAAGAGATGGAAAACAAGTTGTTACACGTTATTTCAGAACTAAAGGGTATGGAATTGTTAATGCGATGTAGGACATGACTGAATACCTGTTTGTTCTGACTGAGATAACTTGTTTGGCTGCAAGTCAGGAGTGTCAGCTCGACTGTTCTTTGTCCGGGATTAATCCTCTTGCATCACCGAATCCAACTGGCACCTGCTGATGCAATCAAGTCCGTGTTGTATTTCAAGCCATTCATTGAAAATATTTACTTCTTCGACAATACTCTTATCAAAAGTGAAGTGGAACCCAATACTTTCGCTCAAGATTTATAAGCACAAATAATAAAATACGGTCGGGTGTCAGCTCCTCGGATGGTATAATGTTATGCTAGAGCAACTTCATTTTAATCTTAGAGAACAATCTCGACTACAAGAAAAAGATAGTCGCCTACTTTCTTTTGATACGGCACGGGTAACGTAGAAAACGACGTCTCGAATAATTCTTGTTGCCACTGGAACATGTTTACCGAGCCGTTGACTAGCAATGGTAGGATACTCTTACAGACCCACAGACCCTCCTTCGATACGACACGGACCATATGGAAAATGACGCGTCCAGTATTTCTTCTTTTATTTCATACATTCATTGCCACGGGAACGTATCTACCGAGCCGTTGCCTAGCAAATATAAAAGGGGAATACACACACAGATACATAGACTGGTGCGAGGGATTTATGAGGTATGCCGTTCAGATGGTCTGAGTTGCCACGATATATATGTATACCAGGTTGCATAAAGTTAGTTGAGACATTCAAAAGGTGGTAGGGGGGATACACAGGTACACAGACAGCAAAGCTGATCTCAGAATCCTTACTTAACTTACTTGCTCATGGAGCTGAGCCCTTCTTGAGGAGCCGCCAATCCTGCAGCTACTCAAGAATTTCCCAGCATTTTATGGAACCCGAAGGCTCATTACTGTGTTCACAAGAGCCCTCCACTGGTCCCTATCCTGAGTCAGAACAATCCAATCCATACCATCCCATCCTATCTCTCTAAGATCTTCTTTTACTATTGTCCACCCACCTACGTCTTGGTCTTCCAAGTGGTCTCTTTCTTCCTGACTTTCCCATCAATATTGTATATGCGTTCCTGGTCTCCCCCATTCGTGCTGCAGGTCCTGCTCACCTCATCCTCCTTGATTTGATCATTCTAATTATACTTGGAGAGGAGTACAAGTTATGAAGCTCCTCATTATGCAGTTTTCTCCAACCTCCTGTCACTTCATCTCTCTTCGGTCCAAGTATTCTCCTCAATACCCTGTTCTAAAACACCCTCAGTCTGTGTTCCTCCCTTAATGTGAAAGACCAAGTTTCACCTCCATACAGAACCACAGGCAAAATTATAGTTTTGTATATTCTAATTTTTATGTTTTGGAGAGCAGACGAGAAGACAAAAGGTTCTGGTCTAAATGGTAGCAAGCCAGATCTCATAATCCTACTTTTATTTCTTCAAAATAAGGAAAGCAAGGCTAAACATGGAAAATGCACACTTCGTAGAAATTGTAACTAATTTTTTTTTTGTGCATTATAAGTGCAATCCTCCTATCACTAGCGTTAGAGGCAGGGTGTAACACCAAATGAATGAATGAATAAGGGGTAAGCCTTGATCGGCTCTTGAACCGCGACTACCTTGATGTATTACGCGTCCCCTTCTCTTTCGACCCCTCAACAATCCTGTGCTTCGGACAAAGTGAAGTATCTTGCTTAAAGGCCGCGCCATAGCTCAAGCGGTTAGTCGCTGGCTTCCCATTGCGGCGGCCCGGGTTCGATCCCGGGTCTGGTCAAGTGGGATTTGTGGTGGGCAAAGTGGCGCTGGGGCAGGTTTTCTCCGAGTATTTCGGTTTCCCATGCCAATCTCCATTCCACCAATTGCTCCACAATCACCCTCACCTATCATCTGGGGCTGGTACAATAGGCCAGAAGTGGTCGCAGTACAAGGGACTTAGTCCCACCCCACTAGCAATAAAAAAATAATAGAAAAAATCTTGCTTAAAAGGGCGTCTAATTGGCCACCTCGGTCCATAAAATAGCTTCCGAGGTGACGCAGGCTTACGTAAGCTGTACCCTCACACTCACACAGGACAATAGACGAACATGTCGCCTCCATCTTCACGGTCGAAGAATAAGACAAGCACGGAACCAACGAGAACGGAGGTGGCACGGCGCTATGTACCGGAACACAGAAGTCTTCATAACCACGGCTGTGAGAACCTCACATCCTACACGTAGGACATATGTGGCTGACTCATTTCTTCCAGACACCTTTCACATGTGCGATTGTTGGTTAATATCAGTTAAGTTGTCACGTCAGTAATAGCAAGTCGCTTAATCAAATGATGTGCAAGATGTAATGAAAGGCAATAAAGGGAAATGTGAAGATATCCCTTTATGGTCCAGACGTCCCGGGTTCGATTCCCGGCGCTACCAGGTTTTCTGAGAAGTAGTGGGTCTGGAACAGGGTCCAATCAGCTGCGTGAGAATAACTGAGGAACTATTTCGAGGAAATAGCGGCTCGGGGCTAGGAAACCGAAATTAACGGCCGTGGGGATTCGTTGCGCTGACCACGCGACACCCTCTATCCGCTAAAGTTGGCACTAACTTCGCCTACAAGCGGCGGTCGCTCGGTCGGTATAATTCGCTTGCGGACTACAGGTCATGGAGTATTTTTTTGTTTCACGAGTAGACTTGAATTTCTTAATTGTAGTATTATTCCTTCTTCAAGGTATATATAATAGTAGTAGTAGTAGTAGTAGTAGTAATAATAATAATAATAATAATAATTCAATTAATTATTATTTATGTGCCGAGTTAACAGCTACAAGGACAATTACAGACACAGCACAGCGTAGATAGAAGTAGTTACATACTGGACAAACACAACATAAATTCAGTCTAATTTAAGGTAAGCACTGGAGGGAAAACACACTAATGCATATAAGGAAACAAAGTAATAATAATAATAATAATAATAATAATAATAACAACAACAACAACAACCGATTCTTATTTATTTATGTGCAAACTTAAGATCCCAGGGGAAAATAATTATACTTGTCGCTAAACTACGTCTTTTGGGGAATTTAAACGTCCCCTACAGCTTTAACTGAATTTACTTACTTACTTACTAGCTCATGGAGCTGCGAACTTCTTCAGAAGCCCCCAATTCTGCAGCTACTCAGCATTATGGAACCCGGTGGTTCATTACCGTGTTCACAAGAGCCCACACTGGTCCCTATCCTCAGGCAGATCAATCCACTTCATACCATCCCATCCTATCATTCTAAGATCCATTTTAATATTGTCAGCTTAACTGCACTGTTTTATAATGCTCTGCAGAGCCTGCCACTGATTGTTAACCTGAACAAACTAAACTTCGATAAATCACGATAAATGATACAAACTCCGTCCTAAGTGCAAACAATATATATTTATATGTCTTTGATCTTGTTCTTTCTACACTACATGTTTCGGCCTCTATCGGCCATCATCAGGTGTATACTCTTAACGTTGCTGCCACACTGAACCCAGTCTAAAACTTAACATTTNAAATATTAGTTGCAAATCAAAATAACAAAGCCTTAATCATTTATAATAAAAGCAAAGCACTGACAATATCATTTCAGGCACGTGTTACATTCAAAATATTAGCGTGACGAATATTGATGTAGAACATCGTACACACACCGCAAACAACCCATCTTTCGCCTAGTGTAGCCCTCTGCCATCTTGTGAGCGAACTGTTAACTCCGTATATCTGAATATGTCGCCGATGAGTGGGTTTTGATCGTTTTGATCAGTGAGCCAAAGAATAAAGACGAATAATGAATAGAGATGAGTAGGGTCTGGAGCGGTCTCGAGATTAAATGAAAAGTATACGAGCGTTTGATTAAGTAATGGGAGATTTCTTACTCGTATGTCCCTACAAAAATGAGATTATATTGAAGTTGTTAAAAATAAAGGGCAAAACACTTGATTGTTTACTCTTAATTCTCAAAAAACGTAAACTGTTAGTTATCTAAGGAATATTGCAATATCATCGCACAGTGAAGTCTCATACATATTACATAAGGACTTTGTATTTCACATTAAATCGCTGTTAGGTGATAATATTTTTATGGCGTCATGTCATTATGCTTCATGAATGGTATAGTGGAGTAGAAGACTTAAACGACACGGTACTTAGGAGGAATTATCCAGGATCGGCCGATACAAGCCCAAGTATTGCACCACACGATAGTAAAGGATATGGAGGTTGCTGATAAAGACTGTGAGGTACCAGAAGTGCCATCCTTTGTGGAAGATGACACCGTGGTCAAGTATTTTAAAGAATGTGTAGGTGTGACACTACCCCCAGACACGACTTTAAAAGAACTAATGGACAACAGTATCCAGTTCCCCAGGTATTTTCAACTTCAAAATATGACGAACAGGGCATGAATGCGGAGAACGTAAGGTGAAGGACCGGTAGATTTTTGAAGAAGTCTTACATAGGTTAAATTTTGCTTTCAGATTTAGCATACAATTGTATAAAATTTCAGTATGCATGGTCCATAATGTGATTCTTGTAACAAAGTATTTGAAGAGCTGGAAGATAACACAAACGACCATTAGCGACCTTCCGGTTTGATGATAGGTAACATTTCTGAAATGTCTCTTGATTAAGAATATCCACCTATTAATCCTCTCCTTACATAATCAGAAACTGGAATTGCCAATTTTGCCGTTATTCTTGGCCCCAGCAGGTGTTCTTATTGTTACAGTATGATGTACTGGATTATATTTCTGTTTTGTGTAATTTCACATTTCAAGGTTCAGCTGTGTCATACACCGAAGCTGTTCCAATGTTTCTGCACACATTGAGGTTCACAGTTTTTGGATGAATGTGATAAGGAGTGTGGAGGTGAACAGATAGCACATAGCACATGCATTAATGATGAGTATGGGTCAAGCCAATGAAAACAGGTTGCCACAGGTGCAGGGTACCTAATGTTTGCAAGATCTCCACACCTTTCACAAAGTGTACATTGATTGAACCAGCTGTCACATCTGCACTAGAATACTGGAACATAATAATGATTCAAAATCAGCGATAACTGAGACAAAATGCAGCATTAACATTGTTAAAATTGAACCGTTAGAGAACAATCACGCATACTGCACTAAAATTTTCTCAGCCAATTAGCCATGAACTAAAATCCAGTGTTGCGTAGATCTTGTTCTCGATCATCATGGTTGATGTGATGAATGACCGTACATCACTGATATTCGTACCAGTTTGACAAATCGATGCCTCCTCTTGTTGGCATATTATGCAATAGGATGGTGGATTAAAACTGTGGGGTCACCCATTCGACTCTAACCTTTCACCATGTTGCTTATCCTGTTGTCAGACTATTTTGTTTTCTTTTTTGCGTGCTCTTCCCTGTGTCATCTTTGGATTTTCGTGATCTATGTGTGTTCAAGTGCCTTAAAAAACTGGTGATTGGATTCAATACTTTGCTGAGTTTGAACCCTTCCTCACTGTTTATGTTGTCCAGACATAATTTTATTTCTGTTGCTTCTTTGTCAAGTTTGTCTGTGTTTGCTGATGTTGTGGCAAGTACTTTAGTGGCGTGATTCAGTGCTGAGATCTGCCCCCACTGACTTGTCTGGCTGATACAAAAGTAGATGTCTTTCATGGTCTTCACATCAGATTGACAAAGGGACACTAGGTTAAGCAACAGGGCGAGAGGTTAGAGTTGGATAGGTGGCTGTACAGTTTGACTTCACCTTTCTACTGCATAGTACACCAACAGGAAGAAGCTTTAATTTGACAAAGTGGTATAAATACCAGGAGTATATGGTAATTCAATATTTACATGGCTGATTGCCTGAGAAAATTTTAGTACATTTATTCGACATGAAAGCTTCATATCTTACGTAAGCCCCACTATCAGCAGAACAATCAAAATTGTAATTGCCTCTCAGCTTCAACTGAGAGGATGGATACAGACCAAGTAAAGTCTAGCTTCAGCTCTTTATCTTAGCCATATGACCCCTCTGCACCGGTCAGCAACATGCTGGTCCACTTCCCCCCCTCCACCTGACATTTACCCTCAAGATGGTGACGGAAATGTATGCTGAAGTGTTGGAACAGTTTCAGCAGGTGATACAGGTAAATGCCCAAAGCCAAATTTACTCATTAAGTCACAGGCTGAAAAAACCTGAGAATACAAATTTTGTGATCTGTTACAATTATAAAAGACAAGTCCGTCCAATGTGACTATTTCAGTTTTCTCACTTGATGATTCACTAGCCTTACATGTTTCGATCCATTTGGATCATCTTCAGAGGCACCAAACACTTTTTTGAAACCACTATCACAACAGTTGTCATATCAAATACACATGTAATGTCCAAGTACACAATGTTCCATCTATCACTCACAGCAGCCTTTCTGGTTATAGAAATATTTAAAGTTGTTTTAAAGTTTTAAAAACTTTGTTAAAAATTAAAATTCATAAACCATACAGTTCATGTCAATAACCTCTGTCGTCTCTCTTCAAGGTGGCCAGTGTTGTGCCACCTATGTAACTTGAGTAGGGAGATTCTTAATATTGTCCATTATGATTTCTTGGCCCGCTCTGCTGTGTATACGTTGGCCACCTTGAAGAGAGACGACAGAGGTTATTGACATGAACCGTATGGTTTATGAATTTTAATTTTTAACAAAGTTTTTAAAACTTTAAAACAACTTTAAATATTTCTATAACCAGAAAGGCTGCTGTGAGTGATAGATGGAACATTGTGTACTTGGACATTACATGTGTATTTGATTGACAACTGTTGTGATAGTGGTTTCTAAAAAGTGTTTGGTGCCTCTGAAGATGATCCAAATGGATCGAAACATGTAAGGCTAGTGAATCATCAAGTGAGAAAACTGAAATAGTCACATTGGATGGACTTGTCTTTTATAATTGTAACTGTTAGTGTGATGGACCAAAATGAAACAAATCAAATTGTGATCTGTGTTTGAACCTTCTGTACACTAGCACAGTGGGGCAGTTACTATTTTCTCAGCAAGTCTTTTATGAAATCTGATGGTTCATTACTGTATTCAGCAGAGCTCACCACAAGTCCCTATTCTAAACCAAATGAATCCAGTGTACACCCTAACAATCCATTTTGTTATGTTCCATTGTAGTATTCCCCCATCTGCACCTAGGTATTTCAGTTGGTGTCTTTTATTCAAGTTTTGGAAACAAAAGTGTGTGCACTGTTCTCATTTCTCCTATGCATGCTAGGTGTCTTGCCAATCTCACTGTCCTTGATTTAAACATCCTAGTAATATTTGGCATGGACTGTGAAGCTTTTCATTATGCATTTTGTCATCATACTCCTTTCACTTCCTTCCAGGTTAAACAGTCTCAACTGCACCCTGTTTTCAAGCACTTTGTGTCTGTGCTTGTCTCTCACTGTGTAAAATCACAATTCACACCCATACAGACATCAGGCAAAACTGTAATTTAATCTTTTCATTATTTGGTGGAAGGTGGGAAGACAGTAGATTATGAAGTGAATGGCAAGAAATGTTGCCTGAATGCAGGCTCTTGATTCCTTCATGAATGAAATTTTGATTTATTAGTGTCATTTTCAGATATTTAAAATTATCCACTATGGCAGAGTTGAAATATTTAACTATCTTTGTTTTATGATTTTGCCCTGCCTACTAATGGTGAGACATTGACATACCCCTTCATTTTCTCTGTAAATATTTCTAGACCAACCTCCTTATTGGTGGCTAACAGAGCTTTTGTCCGTTTGCTGATGGTAGTCATGTTTTTCGCAACTAAATTAACATCATCAGCATAGGCGAGTATTTGATATGCCCCATTCAGTCTCCATCCTTCGTGGTTTTCTCAGATCTTAATGGTGTATTCTATAGGAGAGCTGGAAAGCAAATCCGACAGTTTATTGCCATTTCAGACCATTCTGAACATTAAGTGTATGAAATGTGTACCTACATAGAGTTTACCAGATGCTTCATTTAAACATAATTGATTTATTCCAGCTATTGTCATGGGTATACCAAACTTAGTGAGAAAATTGTGCAATACCTCCCTCCAAACTGAATCACAGACTTCCTTTCTACACTTCTTGTACACATGCACGAAATGAAAAAAATTTTTTCAGGAGTAAAATGTGAAATCATCAACCAACTTCAGTGGGACCGTCATATGAACAAAACATGCAGGGGATGTAAAAGTATTTGCTCAGTAAAAAGGCAATAAATGACATATAGTGCATGAGAGTGGTGATTTTAAAATATAAAGTGTACCAACAAAATGAACCCTATCTGTCAGTCTGTCTGCATTCCATCAGATTACTTAAGATGAAATGGGAGAGAGGTTAACACTAAAAAGTGTTGTATTTCAGACAGGCTTTTATTATGCTATACACCCAAATTAGTCTGCCTGTTAGCATGAAACCATATTTTGTGCCACTTTATGAATAATCACTTGATGTATTTTGTAGTAGGATGCAGAGCACCAAGTACTGAAGCAGTCTTAGAACTTAAGGATTTATTTAATTAACTCAGAATAAAGCAAGCACATGAGTTTTATATTTATGTACTGATGTGAAGTTATTTTTTCTTTGCAAGAAAATTGTGTGGTACCTGTAAGAGAGGCTCCCAACTTCACAAATTAAAAAAAAGTTATTTAATGTTTCAAACAAATGTTACTGATGTTATATTTTAGCGTCCTGTTGCACTGATTTAAGTCCATGATTTATTTAAACCGTGTAAACAGTGTATGCACTGCAAGACGGTTTAAATAAATCATGGACAAATGTTACTGGTTCAAATTATGATCTCTGGAGTTGTGACACCAAGTAGTTTTGTAGGCAGATTCTGATAATTTGGAGGATCATGCTGCCACTACCTAGCCAGTCACGGTAGCCGAGCGGTCTAAGGCATGCACTGTCTTCACTAGCTCGAAAGCCGGGATCGTGGGTTCAAATCCCACTCAGGACATGGATGTTTGTGTGCGTTTTTCTGTGTTTGTGTACAGGTAGAGGCCTTGCTACGAGCTGATCACCCACCCAAGGAGTCCTACCATATGTCTAAGATCAAGTAAAACTGAAGAAGTGAACAGAGAGTTTCATGGAGGTAGGCCTAGGCCCAAATGAGGGCTGTAGCGCCAATGAAAAAAAAATGTTGCCACTACCTACAGAGTTGAAGTCTGCAGGTGTGGAATTGGTTGGGATATATAGGCAGATTGCAAAGAAGGTCATCACTTACCCTTTCAAGAGTGAGAAAAAACATAGCCCAGTCCAGGGTGATAGGAATGGTGAGCAGGAAAGTAGCTCTGTCTCTGTTCTTTCATTTCTGAAATGTCAGTTACCTGCTTACAAGGCTGCATACATGGCGTCACACTCCAGAAGACCATAATCTGAACAATCACAGCCACAAAATCCCTCAACTTATAAAAATTATTGATTATTATATTGTACAAGATGAAATGTCAGCCAATGAATTGAAGGACAGTGCAGGCAGCTGATGGTGAGGCGTGGGGCAGTCACATTTAACCCGATTATGGTTAAATTCAGGCATTCATTTTCTTGAAGTACTACACATAAAGAGAGCAATATCATGTGGGATGTGACACCATGTAGTCTAATTGAAGTGCACTGATGTTTCAAAGGAGTATACTGCCTCCATCTTCAGGGTAAAGATTAAGCAAAACAAGTAACCAGCAGAGCTATGCTTCCATCATGATGGTTGCTGGTCTGGCTTACTCTTTGACCTGAAGACAAAGACAGTGCATATCTCCAATGTGCCCTTGAAGTTCTACTGTTTTACATGGTGTCAAATTCCAGAAGATAGCCACCCCAGTGGGAAAGTCAGATCCAACATACTGTAGATGAGATGATAGTTGGGACATTTGTTTTCATACATTTTTAAAATGATTTGCATGTTCCAGGAAGTTTCCTGTCCAAACAGTAAGGTGCTCTAACCTTGTGGGACAGAAACATGTAACAAAGGAGTTGCTGGAGGAGAATGCAAATTCCACATATCCTGTAGTGCATGAGTCAGTGCTGTTCCTCTACATTCACTTTCTGGAGCATAAGAAGCAACATGGAATTGGTCCAGAGAGGGCATTGTATGCCAACATGGGTATTCTTGACTTTGTACAGCGCCTGCTAGAGAAAAGATCAGCATCATTCTTTGCCAAAAATGACAAATACCTTCTGGTCAGTGGAGCTCAGGGAATTAGTGGCTGGGAAACAGTTGGATCGGTAACTTTTTTTAAAGAATTTAATTCCTTCCACTACAGATAGAGCATGTACAGATATGAAGTGAAAATTTTCTTTCAAAATATATGTTGTGTAGAAAATTGTTGTGTCATTTAGTGTGAGTGGCTCTGTGTGTGTGCGCGCTTGTGTAAGAGAAAGAGAAAGAGGATTTAGAGGCATGTCAGCATCAGTGGCTATTTAGAAATTAGGCTAGATAACTTTTACAATTAGGATTTTCTCTTCTAGAATTATACTTCGAGTAGAAGCTTCTGCTAGGTTTAGAGACACCTTTAGAGAGACATTTGTTACTGTACTTACTGATTTGTAATATTGTGAAGAAGCAGTTAAAGTACCCACAGAGTTAGCTTGCATTGCAAGGTTGAAACTTTCTGATCTCATGCAACTTGGAAAAAATTAAGGACTCTCTCTTTCTCATCGTATAATATAGGATTTAATTCAAATTAACGAGTTTGGATGTAAGAGACATGAGACCAGTGGCATATGGACATGGCAAAGATTACTGACATTACAAAGGAATTTATTGTTCTGCAGGGATCAAACAGTGGTAATTGTTGCCATATTGGCAAAGAAAACCCCGAAAGGAATAATTAATAAGGTATTTGATCTTTATATGAAGTAGTTCATGACATGCATATATTGATTTGACCATTGAACAGTAAATCTGTATTAAATGCCTCTGTATGTGTGTGTGCTTATTTCACCTTAGAGTGGCACAGTTTAATTCAGTATTAATTGAAACAGGTATTAAGTGACTGGATTTATTGAAAAATATTAGATTAAATATACTTTGTTACAAAACTTCCAGGGACTGTAACTGCAGACTTTTTGTGATACTGTTTGCAGGAAAATGAAAAGCCTCCATTAGTTCTTGAAAATTGTCTGAGTTATGATGAAATGAAACTCTCAGCACTTTTATCAGTATCTTCATGGAGTTATTTCATCAATGAGGGTACACGGGATAACAAGGGTGTCCCCCAAAAGAACACACAGAGCTTTACAACTAGGGGTATTATCATTGGTCTTATTGGAGCTCGTTTAAAACGAGTTGGGCTGATGGAATGGCAAGAGGTCCTGGTAACAAAGACCCAAAACACTAAGGAGAATGGATATGGAGCACCTTCCCGAGTTGGGTCATCTGAAGAAAATAGCAAACAAGGCAAGTTTACCTAGCTGCATGTAAGACAGACATTGTTCATATTGCACAGTCAGCATGACATACAGATTTTGTATCAGTTCCTGAGCCCAGTTTTCTGCTCAAGAGCGTTAGGTATTGTGCATGCTTATCAATGTACAGAATGCCTTTGGGGATTACTGATATTGCATGGGACATTGCCCAATGTCTGGGGCATATTCAGTATATACAAAGTGTCGGGACTTTGCTCGACTTCCATCTTCATGTGATTAATTGCTATTGTACTGACTGCATTAGAGGGAACAGTTGGGATTGAACCTGGGATCATTTGATTACTGGGCTAGTACATTAACCACTAGTCCACTGGGAAAACAACAGAGTGATTACAGTGAAGTTTTTCAGGCAGACAGCTGTGTCATTGTGGAGTTCATGTCCCGTATTTCTGATTATCTCTGTCATTGGAAGTAGATGTGATGACTGCTGCATTTGCAAGTTATATTTACATATAAAACTGTTCCCTGTCCCAGCCCAGGGCACATAAGGAATGACAGTTCTTGCTACCTGGCCATGAACATAATAAAAAATGTGAAAGAACTTGAAAGACCAAAAGACCATTGTAAGGAAGGCCCAGCAACAAGCAGGATGAATTCAAATGATTGATCAGTCATACCCCATGTGGTCTGTGCTGGAGCAGGACATCCCCATTTCCAGAGTAGAATTAACTTTTGCTCTGAAAAGAGAATAGCAGTTTTCTCCAAAACTTGATAACCACATACAAGACTACAAGGTGTTATAACCAGAAGACCTCAATCTAAAGCTCTGTTGAAGTTATGTTACTTATGCAATTACTTCCTATCCTGTAATAGAGGGAGCCATATGAAGCCATCATCTACGTGATGATCTACACTTGTTATTCAGGCTATTTCACTTTCCTAGTACTCCTATTTTTCATTTTTTCATTATAAACAGCTGAATTTATTGGGACATCCAGTTACATATATGAATATGTTATTTTCCATTACTTTTGTCACACTTTCTTCGTCAAAGTACTGGTATTCAGGATTGCTAAGACTGAAATTGGTTTAGTCCCTTGCAGTGGTGGCTTGTAGCTAAAATTAGTGGGGGTGCTGCTCCAGAAAATTTGTAGCCTTTGTTTTAAAATTGTATAAAAGGAAACAAACATATATAAAAAGAAAATTTATTCAGAAACTTGATAAAATCCTAAAAGAACAAAATCAAACGTTTTTTACTTACTTTAACCTAAATTGTTACAGTTCAAGCTTAATCTATTCATTTAAAAATGAAATCCATTCTTTTTAACCTTTATATTATGCTCATCGATTGAAAGTCTGTATGCCTCACTAAGTTTCTCCTTAATACTTACGGTTCCTAAAAGTGACAGTGAAACTACATTATTAGCGTGCTTCTTTGACTTCTGATGCTTTTCAGTTTTTTCTTTCATTTTGTTTATATTTCTAAAACCATCTTTTGTCCACGTTACATCACCCCCAAACAGCAAACACGGGAAGCAAAACAGTGAATTTTTTACTTCACAGCTGCAAAGCCAACTTTTACATTTGTACCATTCAGAATTAAAGCTACGAATATATTTCTTGTTCTTGCTTATGCCTGGCTGAGATATTAGAATATCAGGTGTTAAACGACCTCTTTCTTAACTGCAACTTTTTCATGGAGAGACAGTTGTGAAAACTTAAGCTGTTGAAGTTCACTTAGTCACAGAACTTATTTCTCGGGGATGCAAGGCCATGGTTAAAGTTTTCTGTTAAATAAAAGAACCGAAAAAAAAATGAATCAAATAGAATAGCTGGAAGCAGGATAATAATCTAATTCTACAATTAACTCATATTTTTTAAGCACAACATACGCGGAGTAAAAAAAAGACTACCTTCCACCAGCACGCCAGGGTCGGCACTGGTCGGCACTGTCGTTCCTGCAGTGCTCCCTCTCCCTTGCAGCCTCACGTGTAGCTCCTTATGTGCACATGTGCACAGTCAACGAACACCTCGCCGCTGGAACTGTGAAACTCAAAAGAGTTCCATACAAAGATTTGGCTACTGACATTAAGCTTAAGGATTATATATTGTATTGTACAAGTATAAAGAAAGAATTAAAGAAAAAAGGACTCATTATATAAATGTTATTGATAATATCAAATGGAAATTGGGGGTGCTGCAGTTCCGCAGTGCCTATACGCGGGCCGCCCCTGGTCCCTTGTGATGGAATTTCAGATTCTGTCATTTTAAGTCTGAGACCATACCCACAAATTTCTTATATACAAAGATTATAAAGTCACAGGACGCTATATGGAAATGGAGGGGGTAAACACCAAAATCTTTGCCTATTAATCAAATTTAATCCCTTCAGAATTGTCTCCTGACTGATCACAGGGGTTCCAGTGATCCTACCACTCACTGGAGCATTTCTGGTATTCTTCTTTCAGGAAATTGTTTAATTCTGCCACACTTTGGGTAATGTCTCTTGCTTTCTGAAATGGCTTTTCATTTTGCCCATTTTCCAGTCTGGAGAATTCAAGAACAGTTTCTGTGTATTGAAAGGTCAGTGACGTGGGTGAGGAACCAGTGGAATAATTCCTAAATTAGGCTTGATTGTTTGTATGATTTAAGGTTCAAATCCAGCTTGCATATGAATGATCTCTTTTATTGTGTAATAATTTTGTTGTTTCAGAAATGCTATTCAGCTGTAATTTTACTAAATATACACTGAGGTAAGGGTAAAGGTAATGTCCCTGTGCATAAGTAATTAAGCACCATGCCATGAAGATGTATGAGGGAGTGGAGGTTTAGTTCCAATGTTGACTTAAGCTGTAGATAGAGGTGAGTGGTCAGCTTCATGCTGTGGCTGCTTTACCCGTGGAGAAATAGACCCTGATACCCAATGGATAGGAGGCTGAGTGGGCCCTAGAATCAGTCTGGACAGTGTGGAGAAGAGAGAAATGTCTTTCCCCTGCTGGGAATTGACCCCAGTAATTAGTTTCGTAGCCTGTTGCTATACTGACTGAGCTGTCCTGGCTCTAAAGGTCATAAATACTTGAGCTGCATGGTATCCACGGTACCATAGTTTTTAAAACTCTACAATGTGACAGGCAGACAGGCAGGCATATATACAGNCCTAGACACCAAAAAAAAATTTTTTTTTGTAGGCCTGTGTTATCTAACATGTAGTTAATCATATGATTTTTTCTGTGTAGAGCGTTCTTATTCCTGGAGACAACTGTGGGCCAATTTCTATGGCTTGAAACCACACCTTCCCCTGTTTGAGGATGTTGTCAAAGTGCGTAAATCAGGCAACAGAGCTGCCTTGAGTAGGTATAAAGAGCTGAACAAGGATCGACTCTTTGACAATGTAGCTTACAAGAAGCGAGTCGCTGTCTCCATTGAGACACTTTTATTGGAGGTGAGAACAACCAGAGTTTGTATCTGTATTTATCTCACATAGTTTTCATGTAAATCTAGAATATAATGCAATTATATGAGGATTTTAAAGGTAATGTGGGCTTTTCTGACAAAGCTTAAGTGGATTAAGAATATGCCTAGCTCTCTCTCTCCCTCACAACTCTTTAGTTAAATATCCATATTGAGCCTTAGAAGAGGACATGAAGATGTTGAGTGCCTTGGTATCATCACAAAAATGTCTAAAATAGTGTATCAGAATGTTAATATATTTTGTTCCTGCATATTATGAAATTAAAGTCAGCTGCAGAATTTTCAACATAGCCACTGTTCCTTCCAGAATATACTTCAGTGATTATTAAGAGTTTATTTTTTTGAGTGTATTAGATATAATTTCATGTATATCTGCCATTCATATTGTGTGTAGTCATATGCAGCAAGGAATTTTTCCTTACAGAGTTACATTGCAAAACATCTTTCAGCATATTGAGTAATAAAGTTCCACTAGTTTATACCCTCTAAATAATCAGTTTGACTAATGAACATATTTGTTTGGATTATGTGCATTATGCACGTGAGGGAGAAGTTAATCTTATTAGGCACGGAAATCAGTTTTGGGACATGGCACATACATAATCACTTGGGGTTCATAAAACCTTCTGAAACCTGGAAAGGACCATGCTGGAGGGAAAGATCTGAATGAGTAGAACTTGGTATTATTAATGCAAATGAGATGCAAAAAATAAGAGGAAGGGAAGATAATACAGTAAACATCAAATATGATATGCCGTTGCTATTTTATAGAGAATTTTGAAAAGGGAAACTGGAAAATGTATGAATCTCTTGTTTTTTATGCTTAAACAGGCAGAAGCCAGAGCAGCTTCCAAGGGAACTACAGCTTATATCCATGTGGTAGGGATTGGGCTTGGTGTGTGGCGTGCATCAGAACATCAGGAGAAGGAGTTCCTGGATGCGTTTGCAAGCTGTCTCCGCCGGCTGCTCCCAGTTATACAGCACGTGTCAGATATCAATTTTGCGTGGTTTAAGGAACAAATGCATGCTGAAACTTGGAAAGGAATCACAGAACCAAATGACAAAGGTATATGACAGTCAGTACTAATTACTAAGGCCTGAAAAATACGGTTTCCTACCAATGTTCCCTCTAAGTCAGGGATGCAAGTGGGCAAGCCATGATGTCTTCTGCCTAGGAATCACATGACTTGTTTCCTGTATGGTGTTCCGTATGCAACATTAGGACTGTTTTTTGTGTGCATGGTCTGTGCGGAGGATATATAACAAGGTATACAGAATAACACCAGGAGTTCAGTTTTCGGTAGACCTGTGGAGTCTTAATGTGTGAACTGAAGACTCTGTGTTATAGTAATCTTGCAAGTGTTACAGTTATTTGTGGTTACAACTAGTGAAGATCCAGTAAATCCAATTACTAATCCACACCCACGTCTTAGTCACCTAAACATGTGACAATATGATGATTCATGTAAATTGTTACACTGTATAATTTTATTATTTAAACCAATTTTTGTGCCTGTTAACCCTTTTAGACAGGGTGATCATATGCTGGTCTTTCAATTGTGCTTGCACTTGGCAAGGCAGACCATAAGCTCATTTCTTGGTATTGCTCTGAATCTCCCTGAAGAAACATGCAAAATAAATTTGTATGGGTACTTTCTTCTGGGATATGGCATGTAATGCCATATAATCTGGTAAAAGTCCAATGATGTTTTGGACAAACGTACGGTCTCCACCTTCAGGGTCAGTGAACAAGCCATGTAAGCAACCAGCAAGATTGAGGTAGCAGATGTAGCCTGTGAAGATTACTACTGTCTCATATGTAATACCATGAAATCTGCTAAAAGTCCACTTATACTTGTATTTTGGAGGAAAGTGTTGCTTCTCTCTTCAGGCTTGAAGAGTAAGTTGAGCAAGAAACCAACCAAAAGTATGCAGTAAGCAGAGCCCTGTGGCATTCCTTTCTGTTACAAATGACTGCTCCACAATGGTTGAATTTCTTTTTTGTTAGATTGTTGAATAAGTCAGGTGAAAACTATGAGTAGTCCATAAATAGCTTACATCTATATCCCTGTACTTTTTCTGTTGACTATATTGGAGTTGTTCACACTGCTGTCACGTCCGCAGTCACACGTCCTATCATTCCCTACATAGATGTCCATATTGTATGTGTAAGCAGATATGTTACATAATCCATAAAGTTTTGTTCTGAAACATATGCATCCCTTGGATACACAATTTTTTAAAATTATCTTCCCCTAGAAAAGGGTGTACTATTTCAAGTATCTGGCATTCAGGAAGTAAAGAGTATGTCTTAGTTCCCACAGTCTGTCATAGTTCATGTCACTATTGCCAAAGAGTGTCATCATTGTTTGAAAAGTGAAGGAAAATGTCATGTCTTATTGTTTTGCCATAAAAGGGCGGAAATAACTGTTAAGTAGTTAGTCAGTTGTCTTCCATGTGGTCGTGTGTCATGTCCCATTTGAAAAACTACAGCTAGAAACAAACATTTCAGATTCAGCGATATCAGGTACTGCAGTGGGTCTCTCCTGAAGGTAATCAAACTGTTGTTTATTGACTGGTCTGCCAAACCAACAAAGCAAAAGCAGCTGCAAAAATACACCTTGAAACTGTATGGAGTTGAATCTTTATTTTTATTAGGATTACATTCTTTTGTCAGTCAAACCATGAGTGAACTGATGGATGCCATTTTCCCCACCCATATTAACATCCTTTGGGAGGTTGGAAGGAACTCAGTGAGAATTGTCATCTATGTTGTCATCCTGGTTTCCTGTTTGGCCTGCTAGTCAACCTTACTTTTATTCTCCTTGGCAGGATGTAAATGGATTGTGTTCTTTCATGTGATCATCTTGTGTGCTTTATTATAGTCTTCCTACTTCCTCTGATTTGCTGTCGAGTATTCAGTCTCATCTTTGAAATTCAAGTCATGCCCTTGTGGTGTGAGAGTAGAAATAAGAAACTTGAAACCCGTGGTGCAGACTGAAACAGAATGAGCTTGCCAAGTTTACTGTCTTGGCATGCCCTGATAGCTGAGTCTCATTAGTGAAGCTTGATACATCCATGATACACCCACTCTGTTCTTTTCTTTTTTTCCTCTCCTCTTGCTCCCACTTTGGAGCATAAGGCTGATTTCTCAGTTTCATGATCATTTTTACAGACGGTAGGACTCCTTGGACAGGTAATCAGCTCATCGCAAGGCCTCTACCTAAACACAGGACAACAGAAACACAGAATAAATGCATACACACACCAAACATCCATGCCTTGTGTGGGACTGTACCCACAATCGCGGCTTCCGAATGAGCAAAGACAGCACGTGCCTTAGTCGGCTACTGTGACCGGCATTGTCCATGTTTTTTAAATTATTTATGCACATTTTCCTCTTCATCAGCACAGATAATCAGGAGTAACCTATATATTTAGAAATGTATCTTGTTCAGTTTGGTAACTTTTTCAGCTATGATATATGAATACCAAACATAATTTTTTTTTTTTCAGATTGGTGTTGCTATATGCAGCAAGATGAAATATAGATAGATCTGGTACACCTACTAAATGCTTGCATATCCTTGTCTTAGAAATCACCAGTATGAGTATGAGCGGTGGGCCATAAAATCTGGCCCTTGCATCGTGACCTTCAGTAATCTATTGTGCTTTCCCTTTGGATTAACCCTTTATTAATCCTACGCTTTGAATGAAATGTAGGACTTCATTTATGGGGGTATCATAATGGTAACTTGGCTCCATAAAGAACTGGCCCAGGTGATGAAATCTTATGCTATAGCCTCACAATCACATAGGATGTGTGAGGCTGATTCGTCTTCTTGTAGGCATCTTTCACAGGTTGGGTCATCTGTCAGTCCCAGTTTGAAAAGGTGTCCTTTCAGGTGGCAGTGATCAGCAAGTTATTCTATCAGCCATCTTAATTGATCTCTGTTTAATTTCAACAGGTCCCTCGTTCTTTTGGCAGAGGGTCCTGATATAAATCTGTTTGCCTGTTTGAGTCCAGTTGTGGATTCCCAGTGTTTTTTGTGATTTCAATCTGTCCAGTCCCTGATCGCTTTCTTGGCCACTCCAATTGAGATGCCGCACGCTGGTTCAGGTCCTATGAACAGATGTTCAGATCCTGTTCTTGCCGAAATCTTCACTTATGTTTTTAATTCTCAGAATTTTGAATCAGATGATGATAATTCTTCCCTTATCATGTTTGAAATCAGAAACTGAATTTGCTGTGTATTAATAAAATGTGCGTGAACATTGTAATGCTGAAATAACTGTCACTGGTAATCTCTGTCATAAGTTACAAGTGATGTTACATCATTAACATTAATGATGTGCTTTTAGGTCTGACAGTGTGGTTGTCAATGAGTCTGTTTATTTGTATTTTATATATACATTGTTCTGAACTGTGCTTCCATTCCAGGTCCTGGGATTCACATCTTCTTTTCTAAGAGACCACCACATTCAAAATTGTCAGAACCTGAAGATGCTGGAAAACTTCTTGTAGTTTCATATGCATGGGATGGAAATGCTCTTCCTGGTAATGAGTTCTGGATGGGAAAACTAAGTTCAACTGGAGATTCGGCTGCTGCATGTTCAACACAGGTTAGGGAGGCTCAGTTAAAACGTCATTTGATGTAAAATCTCAAACTTAAAACTTGCCACTGAATACAGATAGCTCATACAGTGAAGAGGACTGTTAATTTGACAAGGAGAAGAATGGCCCACACATGCATGGTTTTATCTGTGGACTAGAACTGCAGTGGAAAGGATGGTTGTTCAAGTTGGTGATGGTTCATAATCTCCATTGGCCACTGACATATAATGACCTTATGACTACAGATGGTTAAAACTTTCAAATTTTTTTTCCTTGGCACTACAGCCCCAGTGGGCCGAGGCCTACCTCCATGAACTTCTCCGTTCACTTCGGTTTTTCTAGATCTTACACGTTCGGTAGGACTCCTTGGGCGGGTTATCAGCTTGTCGCAAGGCCTCTACCTGTACACAAACACAGAAAAACGCACACACACAAACAAAACATCCATGCCCTGAGTGGGATTCGAACCCACGATCCCGGTTTCCAAGCGAGCAAAAACCATACGTGCCTTAGACCACTCAGCTACCGTGACCGGCTAAAACTTTCTAATAGGGGGCAAAAGTTTTAAGAAATCTGTGGACTTGAATTGGACCAGTTTTTTTGCCTTGGCCAAACGTTTCACCCCATGTTCTCTTGTCAACAGAAAAGCCATGTATTTGCATAAGAAAAGGTGTATTTGTTGTGCCTTGTTGTACGAGGGGGGACCCAAAAATAACTGGAAACGACCTGTTGCGCGCGCATGCTTTGTAGTTATGAGTTGTGCTGCTAGGTGGTGTTAGCTGGGCGTCTCCCGCGACTGTTAGTGAGCTGGCGTCAGTCTGAGTTAAGTGGTTTGTCTGTGGTGCTCTGTTGTGTGCGTTCCTGTTTCAACCCTTTGGCGATTAGTGAGATGGCCGACCAGAAGGAACAAAGAGTGTGCGTGAAATTG